CCCCCCCCCCCCCCCCCCGGTGTACCCTTCCACCCCAGCTGACTTCCCAGCTGCGTGCAGATCTCTCCCCCGGTGGGCTGTCCACCTTTCCCCTTGGTTGCTGCTGTTTCTTGCAGCCTTGTCTCCCTCCATTGGTATTGCAGATGTAGCCTGTGCAGCGTACAGGAGACCTGTGGGGATCCAGTGCTTCAGAGATATTCCACCCCTTCCTGTTCTCTTCACCTTTTTAAAATCTCATTATTTTCTTTTAACTCTTGCATAAAGTAAAGCTCCTCCTCAGTTTGCCTGCCTGGTGCTGGCAGCCTGGTGGCCTGAGTTGCAGCTCCTGAACTTTCCTAGCAGCTGCAGGTGCTCAGGCTGTGTGACTATGAGGCCCTTGAGATGGAGGCGAGTACCTGGTCCCTGAGGTCCTGCAGCAGCAGTGAGGAGCACAAGTTCACGTGGTGCTCTGGGAAAGCTTTCTTGTCCACTTACTCCTTCAATTCAGTGCCTGCGTTGATGATGATGATGATGATGATTGTTGCCTTGCATGTAACTGCTGACCTAGCTTTTGATGTCTTCCAGAAAAGCACTTGGTCCTGCTCCGGGATGGTAGAACGCTGATAGGATACTTAAGAAGCATAGACCAGTTTGGTAGGTGACAGCATGGTCTTGGTCTTGGTCTAAGCCCTCTGCTTCCTTATGAGTTCTCTCTGATCTTGTTACCAGCAAATGTACTGTGCACACCTGGCCCAGTGCAAGCCAGCATTTTATGGGTGATGATTAGGAATTGACTTCTGGCATGTGATGGGGAGAAGCATTGCGACTTCCCATCCCAAGCAGTGCAAAGTGATGCACCTGGGGAGGAACAACTGGCACCATACCTGTAGGCTGGGGAACTCCCTTCTTCTTAGTACAGAGGCGGAAAAGGATCTTGGAGTCATCATTGATGCCAAGATGAACATGGGCCGACAGTGTGGGGATGCAGTCAGGAAGGCCAACCGCACCTTGTCATGCATCCACAGATGCATCTCAAGCAGGTCCAGGGAGGTGATCCTCCCCCTCTGTGCGGCACTGGTCAGGCCGCAGCTGGAGTACTGCGTCCAGTTCTGGCACCGCACTTCAGGAGGGATGTGGACAACATGGAGAGGGTCCAGAGGAGGCCACTCCACTCGCATGATCGGGGCAGCAGGGCAGGCCCTCTAAGGAGGGGCGACGGGACCTGAACCTGTTCAGTCTCTACAAGAGCAGGCTGAGGGGGGATCTAGTGGCCTGTTACAAACTAGTTGGGGGGGATCAGCAGGCACTGGGGGAGTCACTGTTCCCCTGAGCACTGCCAGGAGTGACCAGGAATAACGGTCACAAGCTGGCAGAGGGTAGATTTAGGCTAGATATCAGGAGGTGCTACTTCACGGTTAGGGTGGCTAGGATCTGGAACCAACTTCCAGGGGAAGTGGTGCTGGCTCCTACCCTGGGGGTCTTTAAGAGGTGGTTAGTTGTACACCTTGCTGGGGTCATTTGACCCCAGTACTCTTTCCTGCCATGGCAGGGGGTCGGACTAGATGATCTACTCAGGTCCCTTCCGACCCTAGAAACTATGAAACTTGTTAGAATTGCGTTTGCATGGTAGGATTCATGCAGCCTTGGAGAAAGCAGGGAGTGCCCTTTAGAAGTGGGTGTTGTTTCCCACATAGCTGTTTTTGACAGAAGTTGGTGTCAGAGGGTGGAGTACAGAGTGCTACAAAGAAAAGAGAGGAATTCTCCCCTTAGGTGCATGTCCTTCATCTCCTGCTGCATGCTTAGACACTTCCTGATGCTTTGGTTTGGTAGTTGGCCATCCAGACTCCACTCCAAAGATGTGTTTTTTATTTTATTTTATTTTATTTTTCTGTTCGGAGTTCACTGGCTCTGGAATCCTCCAGTTCAGCTTTTCAGATAAAATAGCAGTTGTCATTTTGGCATTTTTTTACATCACCACAAGAGGGAGCCACATGCCTGGTAAAGAGTGCTCCATAATGAATGGTGAAGGTGGCATGGAGCCAAGTGGCCCAGGTATTTTGAATGCTGGTAAAAGTAGTCGCTAAGTGATGCACCTGAAGCCCTCAGGAAGGGCAGCACAGCTCACATGGGGGGCACTAGGCTTTCTGGTTGTGGGGGAGAGGTTTTATAACTGCAGTACACTGATTTATGGCGTAACTTAATCCAGAGGTGTATGTATAGGATACATTTTGAGAAGTGGCTTGTGAATTCTGGCCTCTGTTCCAGCTGACACCAGACTTTAAGCTGTGCATGAACTTTTTCCCCATTGTAATACAGAGCACTCAAACCCAGCTCCTTCATGAAGGCTTGGGTTTTTGGCTTCTAGCTGAGCTCCCACAGTCCAGCTTTTTGAATCGGACTCCCAGGCTTGCATCACCCTCCAGACAGGTGCTGTTTCTCAGTGTGCTCTGGGATGAATCAAAGCAGAGCTGGGGTGTTCACGTTCATCTTGGGGCACAGTTCATTGCCCATTGCACAGAGCCCAGTTTCCCTGTTGACTAAGATGGGAGCAAAACCAAACTTGTAGCTCCTGTCCTGCCTCTGTTAATGTGACTTGACAAACCTTGGATCCCATGGGGCACATGAGACGCCCCACTGGGTGTGACTCTATCTCCATCTAGCCCAGCGTTCTGTATCTCAGTGGCAGAGGGTAGATGCAAAGAGAAGGTACACTTATTATGCAGGGCCAATGCAGAATCCAGTGTAGTCCCTTCTCCTCCTTTGGAGCTTCCAGCGCTCAGAGGTCTGGCAAGTGCTAGTTGAGGCTGCACCCCTGACAATCCTATTTAATGCTGACTAATAGACCTGTTCTGCGTGGATTTGTCTGATCTGTTCTGGAATGATTGCTTCACCAAGTCTGGACAGAGGGTGTTGCTCATTAACATAAAGAGCAGGACGAGCACTTCAGTACAAGTTCAGCAGAAGAGCTGTATTGCCCATTAAAGAGGCAGTGACTTAACCGTAAGCAGCAAGTTTGCACTTGACAGGTATTTCCTGTTTCATTGGCTTCCTGTGTGATCTTGTGGAGTGTAACAGATGTGCCACGAGCAGAAGCAAGCATTGTTAGTCTACCTGTGCCGGTCAGGAACAGTATTGCCTGCTTCCTTGATTCTAAGCAATCTGGGCTTAAAAAAAAAAAGCACCGACTCTGGTGAGTGGTGTGAATCAGCGGCCTGTACCTTGTTTGCATTTCTCTTGTCATTTGAAAACTAGCGCTTCTAATATTCTTATTGAGGTAATTTTCCCTTTGAATTCACATGGAGAGCAGCTTCTGGCTTTATTTGAGAGAAGCTGGTTTACAATTAAGGTGCAGTGCTGATAGCAGGTGTTTATTTCGGCAGGTCTTATAAATCTGATGACAAAAAAGTACTTAAGAACAGTGTGGAGGTTCTCTTGCTGTCCGTGGCTTGCTAGAGCTTTTTTCTGAAATCTAGCCTGTGTGTCTTCCTCTTCTGGCTTTATTCTCTCTGTTTGGCAATGCTCATCTCCTTCCTTATTCCGTGAATGTCCAGGGAAACTCTCTTAACAGTATGGGACAACTGGACTGTGGCTTTAATGGCTGTTGAAGACACAGGGAAGGCCATGTTTTTGAAGGGCTGATACAAACACTGATGTCAAACTCTGCAGGAGCCAGTCACCCTGAATATAAACATATTTTATGTTCTGATCATCTCTGAAGCTGACAGGCGAGTTCCATATCCTAGGATAAGCATGCCTGCAATGGGAGACCTCCTGATCACTTGTGGTCTGTAGCAAACAGTGCTGATCAATAGGCAGATAATGACTCTGACCTCTGGGGCTGGGGTACTGTGTTGCTGCAGTGAAACTTCTGAAACCCAGAGCAGAACTGTTTGAACCAATGGAGCTTTCTGTAAGAGGTAATGTTAAACCTGGAGTCCCAGTGCTGTCCCTCCCAGATATAGTGTAGTGGAGAAGCACCAGACTGTTAGGCATGTCAGTTCCTGGCTGCCACTTCCCCTCACTGATGGTACAGCACCCAGTATGGTGCGGCTGGAGTCGGTATATACTTTTGTCATACTAAGAGCTGCATGTAAGTGGTGGATGAAGCTGCTCCTG